GTTCACGTTTAATCCATCCAGATCTAAATATAAAGTATAGTATAATCAACATTTCCTATATAGAGGTGTAATCCATTTTCCTTATACGGATTTTCTCTTGAACTGCATATGACCCCACCCCCAACCAACCCCCACCACCCCCGACCTCCGACTCCGAGCTTATTCGCGTCGATTATGCAAGATCTTCCCATATAGACACAGCCCTGTCAATGATAACTATAACTTCATGTATATCAATAACTGTGTTAAAAACTGTACGTCCACATAAGGGGGCTCATTACCCGCCCCTCCCCTATCTCCGGTGTGTAAAGTCAATACGGGCCGATTTTGTGTGTATTACGAGCCGAACTTTGTTGCGTGAAAAGTACCCCTTTACCGGTGATTTTGGGAACATGAATGCGGTCCCTCCGACCCCGGAGTGTGTGTGTGTGTGGGGGGGGGATGGGCTCATTACTGTTTTCGGAGAGATATGTCTCACCTTTGTCGTAATCACATAAAGTGCAGTCTTTGCAGGGGACCAATTAATGCATAATGGTTATTGTAAAGGCTCGATTAAGTAGTGTTCTATGACAAAAATATTCGTTAAAAGTATTATGGAATTGAAGGTAACCAACAAAGACTTATTTTATATTTGAAAAACAAAACAAAAAATTTGCTGGTACGTGTACATCTAGATTGTTTTGTTTTTAGATATTTTGTTTTACGAAATACACCTAGAATTCTAAAGAAAAGAAGTTATGTTATAAACACAGTAAATTCTACGAGTATCTTGTTTATCATGACCTACTTTTTTGTATACTTATTCGTCGCTGTTTTCACGAAGTGACGGTAGTGAAAAAAAATTGCATTCACTTTGCGTTACGATTTTCCTCACTACCGTCACTTCGTGAAAACAAGGACGTATTTTTCATCGGAATTGAGGGACCCAAACTTTGCTTGCATGAAGCATCACTTAATACCCAAGAGACAACCCCTATTCGCTCAAGTCAATTAACTTATATCCGACATAATCAATACATTTCTGACAGACTAAAAGGCGTAATCGTTGCATAATCATGTTAAACAAGAAAACGGTTGTCATCAAGATGTCTTATTAGATGTTCCGTGATTTCACAGGTGGTCGATTCATTGGTGATGATGATAGTTGCATTCGCGTCGAGAAGGGGCGGTGTGATCTTCTTTTTGGTTTAATTGGAATCGGAATGTGGCCCCTATCACACAGGATGTGCTATATTAATTAAAAGAGGTATCATCCATTTATGAGGATATGGGTGTGAGGCTGAAAGGAACATTTTAATTGAAGAGGTATACAAGTTATGCAACCATGTGCGTTACGCAAATTTTGTTTTCTTTACTTGAACCTGGACGGTCTGGAGCCGGGGTCTGGTCCAGACGATCCATCTTATCGTTGTCTTCCTGTAGTCATGCAGACGCAAGACAAGGGCCGTAGCTTCCTGCAGAACCATTGGCGTAGCCTGGGTCCAGCCATTGTGGGGGCAATGTTGTCGTGATGGGGCGGCACTGGTCTGACTATTAATGAAAATACGAGAGATTCAGAACTTGGTGAGAGGAGCCTGGGTGTGAGAGTGAGTCATTATGTTTCAAGATGGGGCACCACTGGTCTGACTATAATATAAATGGATAGAATGCGAGAGAACAGGACTGAGTGAGAGGAGGGTGTGAGAGTGAGTCATTGTTTTTCTTTAAATAGATTGCCTCTCTTTTCCTTTCCTGTTCTCTCCTGCTATCACCCCACGTGCCCCCCCCCCCCCCCCTTCCCGTGGTTTGGCCATGCACCTTCTAGAATTGTCAATCTCTTTATGGAGCTAATTGTTCGTTTGAGGGAAATGATTATGTGAGCATTTAATGATTTAGATATTTAACAATAATACAAGACTCAACTATAAAACAAGTTTTTCCAGTGTTTCTGCCATTTTTGTTTTAGCGCTCTGCAAGCACTTATGCTGTTATAGTGTTAACTAAAAGATTATGTTTCCCAATCCAGGCGCGGATCCAGCCGGCGGCAAGGGAGGAGCCAAAGAGGGGGCCCAATTCGTGAGAAAATATTGAGCGGCGAAACAGGAAACAGCCAGCCGGTGAATAAGCGGGGGGGGGGGGGGGGGGGGCCACTTTTTTTCGGGGGGGGGTCACTTTTTTCAGGTAATATTTAGCATCGACCCAGCCAGCCGATAATTCGCTCAGTGAGGGGGGGGGGGTCGGGGAGCTCGGGGGGGGGGGGAGGGTAGGGGTCATTTTTTAATTTTTTTTTACAACAACCCCCCCCCCCCTGACGAAAAACAAAAATTACTTCTCTTTTTTAAAGGTAAAATTAACATTAACACCTTTTTGGGGGTCAGGGGGCCCGGGCCCCTTACCTTTCTGTATCCGCCCCTACATGGGACAAACTCGTTTCCCGAGCCAGCAATATTCTTCAGATACTGAGGGTCAATATTAATATATATTTTCTTTCATTTCTGTGGAAAAACCCTAACATATTTTCTTTTGGAAACAAGCACGAGAAGGAGTCGAAAATAGATTTGCAAAAAGTGCAACATTTATAAATGTTTGTCTATTATACAACTTATCAAAAGCAAATCCCTGCAAGCCCTTTCTGAAAAATGGTATATATAAGGCCTGAAAATCAAAAAGAGTATTATATCAAAAGCAAAAATGACCAAATAATGAGAGCAATCATTTTTAAATATCTTTTTGTAATATTCAGGCGCACTCACTTTACCTTGTAATCTTGTAAAGGTACAATATACAAAGAGTTATTTTATTAATGACAAGTTTGTTTAAAAGCGTGTATATTCCCCTGTGTATGTAGGTTATATTTTCAAGGGCTGATATCGGTAAAACCGTCTCTGGTGTGACACGCCAATATGTCTAAAACAATTTGTCAAACATTCATGAAGATAAAACAGCCTCTCCGTCTCTGTTTTAACTCTTGTGAGTCATCGTCTCCACCTAGACTATATTTTTATGATTTTTTTTTTGTGTCTGAGGGGCAGCATATAGTAACACTTCCGGTCCGGCCATCACAAGCTCAATATCATTACAATAGAATATCCTATAGGCCTACCTCATGATATTGTGACCCTCGAAGGATTTTATTTTGGGCAGGATATGACTCCTCAACAAATGAATATTTAGTTCTTTAATAAGAACATCTTCAAGAATACGTTAGGAATTGTTCAAAATATGATAATGAATTTAATATGGGAATTGTACTTTTGTTATATACGGGCTGACTTTTTTGGGATGCAAGCCTGAGTAGAGTAGGCTAAGTTTGAATGAAAAAATGTTACCTTGAATAAGGGATGCGAATGGCATTCTTAAATTAGATTGTATTTAAGATTTTAATCATCATAACGAAGAGAATATCACAAATGTTGTTTGTAAAAAGGATTTCCTTGAGCTTGAGTTGATATTAACACCTTTTATCTTCAACAGCCTAATAGTTAGCATTAATAAGTCAGGAATTGTTTATGGAATGAGATAACCCACACATAATAATGGCTTTTGACAATACGTTTTGATAAACCTGCTGTTGAGTCATCCGTGCCAGCACAATTATTAGACAGGGCAGGGAGGTCTCTATCACCGCCCTGGACAGGGTATCGGTATCACTATCAGTTACCCTTTAACATGAAATATGATTGAAGGTCACATTATAAGAAGCTACCGAAGTTGGGTACACTTTTTTGTATACGCCTGCATACCCTGGATTTTGAGATCAGGTTTTACCTCAATGTGTATGTCCCACGTATAGTGACCTTGTCTAGGCCCTAAAAAACGTATCCGGACAATCACCCCCTGGAAAATCACCCCCCCCCCCCGGAAAATTACACCCCAGAGAATCACCCCCAGAGAACAATAACCGCCGAGAACAACTACCCCCGAGGACAATTACAGTTGCCCTTTGGGGTAATTGTCCTTTAAAAAAAAAAAAACATTGTTACATGTTTTAATACAATATTATATAATTTGTCGGTACTTAAAAGTGTATTTTTCTGTCCATGTGATGATTTAAACACTCAAATTTGCCAAAAATTAGCATAATAATACATTTAAATCATTATGTATTTTTTCTTCAAAATTGATGGAAAAAAAAGAGTCATGTAACATTAAAGATCTTTCAAATTACCGTATTGTTTCAGTATACTGTCTTTTGATCCACTGTTTACATGAATAGTTTCAGAAGAATTTAATTTGGTAGATCCACCTCAATATTCTTGCAGCAACGGTCTAAATGTTTCTCTTTGCCAGTGGCGTACGCAGGATGATTTTTCAAGGAGGGAGGGGGGGGGGGTGTAGTAAGCAGCAGTTTTGTGAACTATTTACAGTATTTACAAAGAACAAAAAAGAAAAGAAAAAAGGAACTATATTGTTAAGTCTAGTAAAATAAAGATATATGTATACATATATATAGGTATAGGTATTTTATTCCCCTTTCACACACGATTCACAACCAAAATGTCTTGTAGATCATAATAGAATTATATTTATTTTCGATATAACGAAAACTAATATAGGCCTATATAGATGTATGTAAGTAATATCTTACATCTGTGAAATGATAATACATTTCAGTGTTCTTTTAAACGAGTTTGGTGATTTTATATTTCGAATAGTGTTAGGTAGATAATTCCATCCATCTGGGCCCTTATGATGTCTGATTGATTTCTTGGCTAATATTATAATGAAATATCGCATCCAATGAAGTCCCCGTTTATTCACCTTGAAATTGAGAGAAATCTTCTTTCTCATACGAGACGAGAGTGAGTGTTACACATATAACACGTTGCGTATATGATCGCCCATATAAAGGCTTTATATTATTTTTGTTAGATGAAACTAGACTATAGAGTCTATAGTTTTTATGCAAACAGGTGGGTGGGGTGCGGACTGAACGAACACCCCGGAAACGTATACATCAGCATCACACACTTGCTGGCTCGCTGAGCTGTGTGTTGTCTTAGCGACGTTGAGTCACGTGACCCAGTAAACACCTTGCATGCATGATAGGACCACTGCAACTACTTACACACGCAGAACAACAAAATAGCAACAAAACAACAAAAACGAAACCCTAAGTATTGAAAGTAACTGTGACAGGACAATTTACGGAAAGTGAGGCTGTGGTTTATTTGATATGGAGTAGAATTCATCTCAAGTTTTTTCAGGTAAGTTTGACTTAGTTTGAGTAGATATTTAGAGCACGAAGTGAGTGAAGTTTGGAGGTGATGACACGAGTGTCGGATCCTTGCCATTCCCCCCACCGAGCTTCCGGCTGGGATATCCTGGCTCGCGACCAAGAGCTCCGACTGATGCGTGCATGCAGTGACGTAGGTTTGAAAACTTTTAGCAACAGTAACTTGGACTTAGAGTTAGACTTAGACACTTATTGGAGAAGTGACTAAGACTCTAATGTTGTTGAATAGATAAAATATTATTGTATTTTAAGAAATGTTTCTGTCATTTCAATTGGAGTTTGAAAGACCCTCAGCTCGGACCTCTCCCAAATTGTTTTACAGAATCATGAGAATGAGTCGAGAATGAATTGGAGAAGCAAACAGAGCCTTAATTCTTTTATTTGATAACAAATACCTCAAAAAAATTGCATGTTTCTTCTTCAGGTATCTAAATTGTGGGTACATACCGAGCATGAGGAATACTTTGAACTTTAAGTCAAACTAGACGGTATAGCCAGGGCCTAGACCAAGTCCTGAAGTCCACTAGAGTCTACAATAGTACAAGTGAAGTGTCATGTACAATTAAAACTGCATAAATTAGATAGAAATACAAACTAGATCTTATATATAATGTTTATTGAGCAATAAACACAGACATGTTTAAAAATAAATGTTGTAAAGCATTCTTGTTCCCTATCTTTTTTTTTTTTTTTTTTGTCTGTTTTATTTTATACTGATGATCTATCAGTGTTATCTAGAGTCTAGTAAAAAGTAAATTTACTGTTTATAAAAATATAAATTTTGCTTCATGACAGATTTTAAATGGTAATACAGTAGTTTAGTACTACAGATCTATTAACAGTGCTCATTAACAATTTAGATCTGGATTATCATTTCACTTTAGATCTATAATTATTTAAAATGAAGTGTAAGTTTATACTTACAGTTTTCTAGAGACTGAGAGAGTATTCATGTACATGTACATGTACATATTAATTGTTCTCGAATGGTATTATAAGGCAGGATAGTATTTTGGCCTGCATGAACTTATGCTCATCATTTCTCTCAAGAGCAGACATTATTTCAAAGTAACAGCCATCAAACAGAAATAGCCTTGTTATTGATACATTTTCATTTCTCATTATTATTTATAGCTCGGTGCATCCAACAAGGATCCAAGACGTTCAAAATGACAACCCTTCCTAGACTTGCTCCAACTGAGACCTGCATTAAAACCATTCTCCACCCAGGCAGCAGTCATGGAGAACCCCAACGAAAGTCCTTTTCTTCTATCGGCCACCGTGAACTATCAAACTCATGGGGTGGCTCGGTCACCTATCATGATGGAAAACCCATTTCTCATACAGCCCAGGGTTTAGGGCGATCGTTCCCCCGCTTAGATCCCCTTCACCCACCGAAGTACAGCAGGACTGTGGGCTTAGAGACCACAAACCCACACTTTCAGAATGAACTGAGATCACTCAATATGAAAAGAGAACAATATCACAAGTATCACCGATCATGGATGAAGCCTTTCTATGGTAGCAAGCTGGAACAAGAGGACTACAGGTAGGTCATAGACTTTACAATGACTGTACAAGTGTGAACACCTCAAATAAAACTTAGGAATAATGAGTAATTAAATTAATTAATCTGTAACTACAAAAAGAACTACAAAATAGGGGAAAGAAAAAGGGGGATGCCAACAGAGACGAGAAAGGGACAAGACAATACTTTACACGACAAAGATAGAAGTGTTAGAAATACTATTTATGGAGATCATGGCATCTCCTCTTTAAATACATGAACAAAAGGAGGACAAAAAGATAGTCCAATTTCTGTTTAATTGCACTCTGGTGATAACCTATTTGCCTGAATTTGTATGGCAGTTTAACCCTAATAAGGCCGGGCTATTTGAAGTCTTAGTAGGGCCGGGGGGGGGGCCATTATGGCCCCCCCTCAAGATCTCGGCCGCGAAGCGGCCGTTTGCCGCGAAAATTTGCACGCATGTCAAGTGAAGTGTAAAGAATAATATGATAATTTCAATTTTTTGAAAAATTCACTCATTTGCATAATTATGGTAATTTATGCAAATAAAGTCATAAAAATCACATTTTTACCAATAAATCATATATTATTCATATTTAAGCATTCTTTTTCACTATATATATTCATTAGACCATTCTGAATAATAATACGAAAAAAAAATTGGAAGAGCCAGCTTATTTCTTATGTTATCCCTTGTTTTGATAATTTCTTATGTATTTCATTGTTTTTTAACTTATGTATTTCATTGTTTTTGTTGTTTTATTTCATCTTTTACTACAACTCAACTATTTTGACTCCCAAAACAACCACCTAAACTTTAAACAAGACCCAATAACCCATGTTTCATCTGTTTTTAGGAAAAATGACTTTGCCATACGTTTTGTACACAAATCACGAAAATGAGCGATTTTCAGGCTGACATGCGAAGACAAAAGGTCACGTGACCTTGTAACCGTAGGTCCGATTTTCAAAAAAATTATTTTAAAAGTTGCGCAAGACTCGAAAGAAAAAAGTCAGCGAGCGGCGGGGCGCCATCCATATGCGTTCCCGAGCAATCAGAAAAATTGTGGAGGGGGGGGGGGCCATAATGGCCCCCCCCCCCGGCCTTATTAGGGTTAAAAGAGATAGATCTACATGTTTTTGCACAATTCTATCACTTCGATTTATTACTTAGAAATAAAGCGAGATACTATATACATCTTGCTTTTGATAGTGACTTCAAAAAAATCTACATGTACATGTGAGGTTTGTAAAAGAGTGAAAAGCAAAATATCAATTTGTAATTCTAGACAAAAAAGAGAATGTGTAATTAACAGATTTTGTTCATCTGAAATTGCTTATCCCCCTTCACTAGGAAACACATCCGGACCTCACTTAAAGACCAGATGAGAGAGAAGGATTCTGTTCACAAAACTTTTATGAAGGACCGAGTGGGGGAGAGTCAGACAGCTGTGGCCTACGACAGAAAATGTCTGGATACCGACAGAGAAGCGCTCCAAAATAAGTCCCTCTACCTACACCAGTTCAGGGATGACAACAAAAAGGTGAATATGTTTGTCTTTCATGTTAACAAAACCCTCCAAGGTGGCCATATTGATCCGTTGTGGTGTATGCAAGGTCTTGGTTAGGATTGTGGGTAGCGGTTGTGTAGTTGTATAAAAGAACATTGTCTATTAAGCCTTTCATTCTGTCAGATCAATATTAACTATTCTGTTGTTTGATCTGCACACAAGTGACTCCTCGCAACCCTTGAATTTGTTATATTTCTTTAGTTTAAAGTACACATACATGTACATGTAGATTTACATGTTGATAGTTAGCACATACCCTGGTATACATTATGAATGTTACAGTGTAACAGAAACTAGACCAGTTCACGCTCAAGGCCAGTTTGAAGGGCGAAACATGAGCACCATAGACAGTCATTCTTTCCTCTGCATCCACGCACAGGAAGCAATGGAATACACTGCCATCTACTTATGTGCCCCATCAGTAGAAGCCTTTCAGCATAAACTGATGGTGAGAAGGGCAGTGTATGGAGCTGCTTGGTCTTCACTCACACCCTTGACATTTTAACTGCATCCGTTCAGCACAAACACATCATACATCACATTTTCACGGCCTGTAATTATCTTGAGGATTAAAGGACGCAGGACTATCACAAGAAGAAGAAGAAGAAATATTATACACCTGGCAATCATTTTTTATCCATCAAGAACACATCATGGCAAATCTGCATGTACTTTTTTATAATGTTTACTTACTGTATACATGTAGAAGTTCTATCAAGGAGGAATCCAAACACAGTCTTTGTGCCTGAATACACAGTATGCATTTGTATGCAAACAATCAGTTACATAATACATTCAAATTATGAGTAAAGTCAAAGACCTAATGAGTTTTATCAGAGCAATGGGACACATGTTAATATACAAGGGTCTGAAATATATTTCTGAAAGAGGCAATTAGATCTTAAAAAGCAGTACTAGTCTCGATCACCATTTTGGAGTCGAAATTCTTCATAACATGGAAGACTTACCATTCAGAATTATACATTTCAAAACAAAGCTATTATAATTGTTAATAATAAAAAGTGCCCAAACTTCTTGATTTTGGGCATTCACAAATGACAACAGTTGAAATTACTGTTTACATAAGGGTAGTTTAAACATACCGGTACGTGCAGCAATGTCTTTTATATGACATTGATGAAGGTGAGAACTGTGATACCAGTAAGGAGTTTTTTTAGTTATTTCTGGAGTGTGTAATCAAAAGATTAGATAGCAGTTGGGCTTGTTTGATTTGCACTGGTTACCCGAGCTGATAAATCTGTTAAAGTACATTGAATCTCATAAAATTGTCTGATGGCACGTAGAGAGCACAACTTACATGCTTTGAATTGTCTATGTGAATCAGCCGTACATTTCCCACTGATTTACATGCTAAAAAAGAAAACTTTAAAAGGCGAGGCTAAAATTGAGAGTAGAAATATTTGTATTTTTTCAGTCCCCCATTGTAATTTACATACATGTATGACTATTTGAAACCGATGCCCACTATTAAAGTACATGCTAATATTGAAAACAAAATAGAGTCAAATTAAATAAAGTTCAGAGGGGTGTTTTACAAAGATCCTAAGTCAAACTTAACTCTAAGATGGACTTAAAAATTATGGAGACCCATTAGTAGCCTTAAAATAAAATGTATTCAAAGGCGTAAATTCAAGTATTTTAGACTTTTTATAAATTCCACATCGAGAATATGAAATCTCCTAGATATACTGTATGAATGATTTGAATCAACATTTTATGCCTTTTAACATAACTTTTACAAAAAATTTGTAGGTGCTAATGGCTTTCCATAGTTTTTAAGTCCAACTTAGAGATAAGTTCAATTTAGGATCTTTGTGAAACACCCCCCTGGTCTAGTTTAAAACTGAGCAAAAATGGTATCTAAACCAGTCAGTGGTTTGCAAGAACTAGTTTCTTTGATAAGGTAATCTTGTTACAATACTTGACATCAAGTTAATTGTCCTTTTTTTCTCATTCTTTTTCTTTCCTTCTTTCTTTCATCCACACAGCTAATGGAGAAGAAGTGGCATGATACACGGCAGACAAGAGATCATTCAAACACAGTGGAACAGGAGCTGCTCAAGTATAACCCTATCAACTGGAGTCAATCATTGCGATGAACAAATTTTGTCTTATGTTTGTGGTTTGATTTCAGGTTTTAGTACTTTTTGTATATTTCCATATTTTGAATTTTTCATGATAATGTTTCCTGTATTTACATTATTTTTGTTGCAATATTACTTTAGAATATTTTTTTTGTGAAGGTTATGTATCCATAAGGTATGTTTTAGGTTGTATGTACAATGTACATGTATGAGTGTAGATAGGCATCTTTTTTCTTTTATTGAAATGTACGAAACTGAACAAGATGGAATAAAAATTGTATAAGGCAATGAGAACAAAATTAGGATTATTCGACTAGTCATTTGTTTAACTAAGATGTCAGTTACGAATTGCTGCATGTACAAACAAGTCCCTCTCTATGGTAATACACATCTCGCCTTACTTTATATTTTTCTCACCACGTTGTTCCCTTTGTTCAAAAAGAATTTTTAAACATGAAGGATGTGGTCAGTTGAATATCTTGCGGATTGTTACTATATTGAAGGGGAAAAAAATGTTTTACAAGCGTAAAGGTAATCATTAGTCAGTACCCTATACCTTATGACAAAACAACTATATATTCCAGTGAGAAGTTGAAAAACAACGTAGATCACTTTAAATACTTAATTACTGTTGTCTTGTGTATGTTTATCTTGAAAAGATACACTTGAGGATCAATTAGCACCATATTGATCAACCCTCACTATTCTATACCAATTTTTGTTGTTTTGCGTTTGTTTTACTCTTGTTTGTTGTTGTAATCAAATGCGTCTATAGCCATCAAGGGAAACCACAAGGATTGGTAAAAACATACTTACAAAAAAGGGTAGAAAAAAGAAGGGTCAGTGTACTGTTTTGTTCTTAGGTTTGAGTATAACATGCAAACTGCATATTAGTACAATCATGGATATCTGTTGTTTTCCCCTTCTGAAATTGTCATCTACAAAATCTCTTATTATACGTGTGGAGATGTGGATGCCTGCAGTGCTAATAGTATTTCACAAGGCTCTTGTTCATTGTTAATTGTATCCCCTGGATTTACACTCTAGTCGAGATGTGTTTTAGACCCTACTCATGTGTGTGTAGCTTTTTAAAGACATTTGTGCCAAGTATTCTTATATCAGAAAGTGTTATCAATTTATATTGTAATTCATCTCTTTATTCAAATTTTAGAAATACTTTTGATTGAATGCTGAATCAACAAATTAGTTTTACAGGATTAAATAGTATTTTAAAATTGCAGAAGGCTGTCACTCTTCCACTTGTACCAAATAAATCTTGCACTATTTAAAAGAAGGTTTCTGCCTTAATATTGGCACAAGTCTCACAATGTTAATAGAATGGAGATTATGTAATTAGAAACTCTTTTCAACCAACTCTTCAAATTAGATGTAGCTCTTTATGGCGAAATTGGTGTATTTGAACTAGAATTAAGTGATCATATTAACAAATTTATTATAGAAAATAAAAATTAATTTTTAATTTTGCGAAGGCAATGGAGAGTAAAAAGTTAAGCAAAAATAATATGCTAATAAGAGTATTCTCAGATAAAATTTATATTTGTATATGTAAATAATGAAAATTGAGAGTTATTGAGATCTATTGATGATTTGAATTGTAAAATCATCAAGATGATGTGCTGCATATGCCAGAGCCTTTCAATAAGTTTTTATAGATTTAAGAGGCAATATTCATGAATACAATTTCACATCAGTTTCCACTCTCGTAATTTTCCAGTTTTATATATTGTTTTGTATATGGTGGCATTTTGAGAACAATATTACATCATAGAAGTATTATATAATCTATGCAAGATCAAAGATTTTTTACATTAAAATATTTAAAATCATGTCATTTTTAATAGAGGAAAGATATTTTTCATAGTATTATCACAGATCTTCATAGTACTTTTCCTAGGAATGAAATCATGAATATTTTAGACGATCAAATTGGATAATCATGTACACATTGATCATTGGAGTTCATAATTATGTGATTTCTTTTGTAATTCTTGATTTATTGACTGCTGAAATGCCAGTAGTTATCAAAATGTATATATGTAAATAAAAATGCTATGTATTTGGTTTGAAATTATTCTGCTTTAGATCTCATTATTGTAGTTGCACAAAACCCAATCAATGATAAAGTACTATTCTGAATTCTCATTTTAATGGTAAATTTAATGTTTTAATAGAATATGTTATTACACAATACATTATCCATCAATCACCTCTTGCAATCAAGTTCAGAAATGACCTTGTGCCATTAAAAATTATTTTGAGCACTACCGGTCATCAAATTCTGATTTTTAACCCCAGGACCAGCTTTAATAATACTAAACCGTGACCCTGACTTTGGATGAAATAAAGCAAGCATCACATCACCTACAGTTACAACACATCTGCTGCAGACAATCATAGGCTATAAACATTTATACTGTACATCTCAACTAAATTTTTGCAGATTCAAAATATTCATAATTTTGTAGCATCATTTTTTCTTTGTTTACTATTTATGTGAAAACAATTGCGATTAGTCATGGAGCAGCCAGAAAACAGTGGCAAAGATGGTACACATGTTGTTAATTTCCTTCGAGACAGAAATGGTAGAAATTGCTAGAAAATGACAAAGAACAAATATATGTAGGACTTGGCTTTAGGCCACTTTGGTATCATACATGCAGAGATGCCAACTTCTTGACACACAAAAAATGGACAAAAATAGAAAAAGGACACTATTTATAATTCATGATTTAAAAATAAATATTCAATAAACTTATCTTTCATATATCAAAATAAACAGAAATCGATACTCTTCAGCAATTGGAATCATACCGTTAACGCATAGAGTGACCATAGCCATTTAATAATAAATGATTCTGAATGAAAATTGCAAATATGTGGCATCTAGCCATTCAAATATTAAAGAGCATTTCCATTTTGTAGAGTCAAATTAAAACAATAAAAGAAGGGATCACAAGAAACAGAAATGAGAGGCTTCTTGATCATGCATGATATCAAAACCATGCAGTCTTGAGAATACTGTTGACATCAAGAGCTGAATCCTCATCGTTTTCTCCTTTTTGGTTTCTGCATTGTTAAAGAAGGATATTACAGATGTTCACTGTCATTTGAATGGCTATTCGCTCTATATTTTGCAATTTTCTAAGTAGGACCTTCTAACTATATCATGTAAATGAATGTGCCCATCATTGCATTAAAAGTTCAAAACTTGAACTTAATTGATGTCGGTAGAGTATTTATTTCTCTTTAAAGGTAAAGACCAGTTATGGTCATGCAATTGCATTGTGAAAGAAACGTGGAATCAATCAGAAAAGGTTGATCATCTAGCATCTAGCATCTAGCATCTGCAAGGTTCTAGAATCATCAAAATGATAAGAAATTTGGCCCATTCTTCGTAAAGTTACAAGCACTATACACAGAAAGATGTATATAGGACTACCCTATATCTCTCACAGACCATGAGAGAAACAAATTTACCAAATATATGAATTAGTAGGCGGTTTCCCGGCATATTTTTTATCATCATGTATTAGTCAAAACATATTCTTTCACATGATTGGTAAAGAGAGCTTCCATTTCATTTTTTGAAATTGGGGCGTTTCCAATACTGGGGGGTGTTTCACAAAGATCCTAAGTTGAACTTATCTCTAAGTTGGACTTAAAATTTATGGGAAGCCATTAGCATCCTTGAAAACATTTTGTAATTTTTTTTTAGAAGGCATAAAATGTTGATTCAAATCATTCATATTTTCTATTATCATGGGAGATTTCATGTTCTTGATGTGGCATTGATGAAAAGTCTAAAATACTCAAATTTTTGCTTTTGAATATATTTCATTTTAAGGCTCCAATGGCTGTCCATACTTTTTAAGTCCAACTTAGTGTTAAGTTCTACTTAGGATCTTTGTGAAACACTCCCCTGGTCTTTAACTTGATATATATTTTATTAAATTTTAGTGACGGTTTACATGGACATTTTTAACCATAAAGAGTGTCCACTTTCTTTTTGTGTCGAGTGTACATTACAAGGTCTGACAGAGTAAAGCACAATGGAAATTAATTAGTTAAAATTTATGATTAATGAGAGGATGCCATATTATGTTTGAAAATGTACAATAGCTAAAACAAGACCTAATTACATGTTAATACTGGTGCAATAAAGGCATTACAGTGTATCTGAGCTCAGCATTCTATGTTACCAAATGTAATAATAATGCGCAAAGGCCAATGTATAATTTGAAACTCATTACCTTTGGTATTACAGTTATCATCAGCCTGTAAGTTGTACAAATTGCACTAAAAAAAAAGGGGGAGAAGAAGAAAAAAAAACCCTCTAAATTATATTCAAATTGTCTAAAAACATTTTTTCAGATTCTAATATGTAAAAAAAAAACAAGGTGGGATGGATGGGCTTCTACATGTAGCCTAAAGCATTTCATTCATTCCAATATAATTAATAAGTGTTAGGGTAAATCAAGAAAAAGAATGAAAGCACTAGATTTGAAACAAAATTATTATCACATGACATGATTTGAAGGAGAATATATTACAAAGGAGGATGTATGAGGGTCTTTACAAGTCTTCAGCCGATATACGGAATTGGAAGAAAAAAAATGGAGACTAGCCAAACATGTTTTAGACCAAATGTCAATAAACCATTCAGCCAACTGACCAAGAACAGGATATTTCAACCATCTGATATCAGCTTAAAATATTTCTTGCCAAAAAATATTCTTTCACACTGCGTCTCTTGCTTTAGTGACCAAAATATTATGTTCAATCATGAAAGCAAGAGAGACACATTTATCATGCTGCTTCAGGAAATTACCTCTCCCTCCTAAAACAATGAGTAAGGTTTCTTCTTTTGAAAAGTACCAACATGATGTGAATTCACAATTCACAATATGCATGCAATTATGCTATACTAGTAGACTGAAAAACTTAAAACTCAACTTTTAGAGTCCAGTTCCCAACTGACTAGATTTTTGAGTCATAACCAAAATATAAACCTTTTTCTCAGACAAATGAATTCTGTCACTTCCTTTCCAATTTCCTTGAAGGACAACCCCAGTTTTTTTTTTACTCTAAAACCAGAAATCTACCCTTTGTGGCTTTCCAAAAATGTATCGCCAATAGAGGGCACTGTACATATAAAGGAAGTAGTGAAAATGGTTTCTTATGTAGGCAGGGTTTTATGGTGGATATAGAGTCAAACCTGCTTTAGTGACCAACTGTCTGCAAAGACCACATTTTATGTTTCCCTTGAAAATGGTTTCTCATTGAAACATGTACTAAAGGAACCTGTCTACAAAGACCACCTGTCTACAACAAGCACATTTTTTGTTTCCCTTGAAAATGGTTTCTCATTGAAACATGAACTAAAGGAACCTGTCTACAAAGACCACCTGTCTACAACAAGCACATTTTTTGTTTCCCTTGAAAATGGTTTCTCATTGAAACATGAACTAAAGGAACCTGTCTACAAAGACCATCTGTCTACAACAAGCACATTTTTTGTTTCCCTTGAAAATGGGTTCTCATTGAAACATGTACTAAAGGAACCTGTCTACAAAGACCACTTTTTGTATTTCCCTTGGGCGGTCGCTATAGTCAGGTTTGACTGTATGTGAACCTGGTAGTGAGAGGTTAAATGATACATGTATCATATACACAGAGTAATAAAAACAATTCTATAGGATATGGTGCTTCATAATGTTAGAATGATTAGAGGGGTTAATTTATTTTTTTTAAAGAAAGAAGAAAAGAAATTAAAGAACAAGTAAAATCCCAATAAATCTTATTTATGAATTAATAAAAAAATTATTTCAATGAAAGTCGTCTTTGAACACAGTGTGCTCTACATTTACAGTGTAGAGTAGATTTTAGTCTTGGAATCATATGACAAAACCTTCCATACAGTAAAAAAAGAAATGTTTTCAAGGTTAGTTTACATGATTTTTTGCTACATATTAAACATTATACAGATTATTAGAGTAAGCTACCACCAATAACGTAACCACATGTGACACAGAGCCCATCACTTCCTCTAAGGCACTACACAACTTCCCATAGCTGCTTTGATGTCTAATGTACATAAAAAACATTCTTATCTCACGTTTGAGGAGCAACATAATTTCAGACATACATTCTTTAGACCATGATAACATCTACATTAATGATAATAATAATAACAATAGTGGGTTTTTGTATAGCGCTGATATCTGTCATACTTGACACTCCTGGCACTCCGCAATTATTACCTCGGCTTTAGCATTGCTGCCATTACGGCGCTCTAGCATTTCAAAGAATTGAATTCCTGCCAGGTACCCATTTACATCACCTGGGTCGAGTGTGGCAAATGTAGATTAATGTCTTGCCCAGGGACATTGTGACATAAGAGGTGGGACAGAAGCAACATCAAGTAACATTGATAATAAAAAGCTTGTGTTCCTAGATATCCTGATAGGATGAATGACCAACATGTCTCTACCATTGCAAGTAAAATCTAAATTTCATCAAAATTTCATCAAGCTTTCTTCAAGTTAGAATAGTTTTCTATGAAAAAATACAAACATTGAACCACTCCCACTTCGACTGTAATCAGCATTGCATATTTGATGTAAGTTTGGACATGCCTAGCATTTTTGTTTATCTGAAAATAGTGTCTATAGGAATCTTTTTATTTTCCTTCCTTGTTTAAATTACAACTCAGAAAAGAAAAAAATACCAGTAGAAAATGGGCCCATCTCGAACATTCAAATGAACAATGATATTCGACCATAACCACAGTTCAGTTGATAAACTTTATTGTTTGTTGCAATATTGAAGGATTTAGAAGTTGTTAGTAAATGTCTGATAATAATAATAGTGGGTTCTTGTATAGCACTCATGTCTGTCAGACTTGACACTCCTGGCGCTCCCGATTATGTCTTTTTTTGTTATTCTTTACCCTTATTCCTCTTTAACACACACAAATAAAATAACATCTTAGATTTCATTTGTATCCCAAAATCAAAATACCAAAAAATAAATAATTCTAATATCCTAACACTTCTGAATACAAATCAATCTGAAAGTACAGAATGCAATTATTTGTACTCATAATCTCAAACTTTCATTTTGTGATTTTTTATGTCGGAAAAAAGCGATAATTCCTGGTAGTAGCGCGATAGTCATCATGATAAGAGCTTGCACTGGTCTGGTCATTAGATAACATAAAGCAGCAAAGCTTAAAGCTAGTGAGAAGGAGATGCACAAGTTGAAGTTTATCAGACCAAATGATGCAATCTTTCGAAGGGGTGGTACCAGATCCACTACAAAGAGAAAAAGAAATTTAAAAAAGAAATGTTTAGCTACAACTGTATGGACTGTGTGATGCTAATTTGTAAGTGTGATGTTAAATTGGGATATAAAACAATGTACGACAGGGGGGATTAAGAGTTTACACAAATTCCCCTGTTAATATACTAGTTTTCAGAACAAACATTTGTCCATTCAAAATTTCCCATCCTTTCTAAAAATCATAAAATTTCTCTCCATCATCTTTCCACATGCTACTTGTTTTGATTCTCTCATCTTCCTTAAAAAATCATCTTTTCCTGCTTTAGATTAAGTTTGTTGGATATTTGATTTCAAAATGCATCATGCATATTCTCATCCTCCTAACCTTTTTTGTTGTTGCAAATCATAGGTCAAATCATAGCAAAACTTATTTAAATAAAAGCTTCTTTGAACAGAAAAATTAATAGGAATATAATCATGAAGCCAAAGAAAATTATAATGCCTATTCTCATGCTCCCAAAATTTGTCTCTCAATCCTTTGTTTTCCTTCCTTAAAAAAAAAGCAAAATCCTTTCCAACATAATGCAAGTCATTTAAATACTCACTGATATAAAATGTGATGAGTTTCATAAAACAGAAGCCTAAGAATATCATCAGCCATCCTCCAATCCTGAGAGACCATGTCAATGAGGTCTGCAGGTTCAGGTGACGAAGCAGCATTTCCTGCAGGCAATACAAACATCAGAAACATTTAATAAATAAGTTTCACTCACTTGCATCCTGTTAAGAATTTCCTTCTTCCTTTACATTCTCAGTGTTAATGTTTTAATGCAAAGCTTGTGTCTTATTTCTCCTAAGTATTACAACAGGTAATTGACACTGTTAATGTTTTCAGGTTAAATTGGAAGTTAATTAAGATTTTGAAGTGATTATTGGTTACTTCATGAAAAAATCTTCTTTTACTTATTGTTTTGTTGTTGTTTCATTTTCATTTGTGGGATGTTCCTTTTTATTGGGGGGGGGGGGGTATTTGTATTAAATCTGACTAATTTTATGTCATGGCCACCCACAATTTTTTGATCTCACAACCTAAAAATATTTCTCAAATAATAAACACATCTCGATATTTGGTGTCACAGTTTTTTTGCAATTTTAGACTATAAATAGCATGATCAGATAACAATGTAAGTAAAAGAGTACTTATAACATGAAACAAAGGTGTGGGACTCTAGAATTGAACATAAGATAGTCTTACCTCTGCAGACCATTTTCCCATCTGGACCATCTCTCTTGCTGTACCACTATTATCTACATAACTGGTCAGAATTCCTCCTGCCTGCTTGGCAATTATGCTCACCTGTGGAAGAAAAAAAGAAGAAAAAAATATCTCAATAATCTGCACACCAGAGATCCAGAGAATGCAATGTAGATAGACATTACAAACGCAAATGGATGTTGCACCAAACAGATGGAGCTTACTTTAGCCAAAACTGATAATATATCCTCCCTTGGAATATTTGTTTTTCTAATGACTTTCCCTAATTTAGAAAATTTTGATGTGCTAAGGTAGTAAAACAGCATACAGGTAGCATATTGTTAAACAATTTATACATTTTTTTTTTTAATTTGAATGGTCGTACTCCAAAAACACACATGGAAAAATGCTGCACTACTATGCACCCACTGGACAACAACATTTGAATTGTGTGTTTCACACTCCACCACATTTGATATTCCCTGTATAGACAATACAAAATGTATTATATAGCCTTGGAACAGGGATCTTTAAAATGTATACACTGCCATATTAAACAACATTGCACATAGCTGTCAATTATAGAACTAATTTAGTTATTATAAACCTTTAGGCCATAACTTTGACAAGCCAATCGCCTGTCTGATTATCAAGATATTTATGATTGGAAATCGAAATCAAATTTTGCGTTTTCCTAACAGTTTTCATAACACTACAATCTATTGAGGAAAACGAGTATGGTAAAACCGGTTTCTCAAAGATTTTTACTTTTTTGAGGCACTTCTTGATCATTTTGAAGCACAATTTTATTAGGGCTTCAATACCTAATTATACCATATCAAAGACACTGATAACACGTATGGCCGTAAATCTCAGATTCAACATTGTTAAACGATGGCTGCCTTTAATATATCCTAACTGTAGAGATACATGATTGAGTGTAAAGGGACTTGACTTACAGTGGCAGGTGGGCCTACGATGCTACTCTCTTGGCCACTCACACCAGCATAGCTGAATGTTACTCTCACTTCTCCTATCTATACAAAACAAAGATAAAATGGAATTAAATTGGTAAAACTTGAAGCTAGCTGACATATTTTCTACAGCATTTGCCATGAAACATACAAAATTACACACTCAATTTAAAATCATCAAACCTCGTTTTAAGAAATCCAGAAGCATTTATCTCTTCAAATTAATTTCCCTTCATTTCTCAAATTGAGAGACATATACATGTAAATAAATGTTTTGAAAAATGACCTTTAATTACTGCAGAGACTAATAAATATGTAACATATCCATCTGCTTTTTCATGCATTTTCTCTCAAATCTTTAAATCCTTTATTCTTTCTTTTTATGTGTTTTTGTTTAACTTCCACCCATTATTGTTTGGAATACCAAATCCAACATCAATTGAAAAATTGAAATGATTCTTATTCTGAGACATCATTTATATCTATGTTATAAGTCTTATGCAGAAAAACAAATGACTGATACAAAAATAAAGTAATCATAATGATTTCAAAACAAAAAGAAACTGATTGATTTGACATACCATAGGTCTGTTGATATCTAATGAGAAGTGATAAAAGCCATTGTGCAGTTTAACGTTTGGATTGGAAGGTTGCTGTGTGGTGAAGTAAGGGTCAAAGTTTTCAATCTTTTCTTTCAAGGGCTCCTTTAACTGGAAGTTACCAATGTAAGCTCGGATGGCAACAAAGGTAGTGCCTTTGACAGACATTTCCCTGTGAAGAAAAATGAATCAAATAGCAATAATTCATATCGTGTTCATCATCCATGCAATGTAAAGCTTACAAAACTATTTGAATTCTGTAATAATTTCATTTACATTTTGGACAAGCTATATGTAATACTATCTGCGTATATATATCCCCTAGTAAAGACCATTCAAGGTACTTTACAGCTTTCACTGTGTGGATGTATCATATTTTAGTTAGGGATACAAAATCAAGATTTCAAGACCGATTGTGCTGGTAGGGAGCCAAGATTACAGGTATACGCAAAGTTTTGGAATATGCAGTTCTGATAGTCAAAAGACATTGTTTAAAGTGTAAGTAATATCAATCTTGAGAGGGAGTTATACAATATAAAGAGTTTATTATTTATAATTTCATCACTTTAGACTTGATTTCAACTGTGACAACGATCATTGAATATTGTAGGATCACATATGCTTCCAAAATGTTCATTTGAACCTAATTCATGACCCTATATCAAAAATTTGTATTACCTTTAACACAGTCTATCTCAATAAATACCTGTAGCTGTAATTCTAGTATCAGAATAAAAAATAGGCTTAAAATAAAACATAAAATACTACCACATAATACCGGAACAATTTGTAAAATCTATTTATTTTACGGCTCTAGAGATCACTACAGATAATTTAAAGATTAAAATCAATGAAACTCCTCATCTCAAATTTGGATTCTTGAAATGCTTATTGTAACACAAGATGACAATGTAATTGATCAACATAAAAATTTGTTTTTTATCTTTAGAACAAAGGTGCATACATAAATATATTTACATTAAAAGTTCTTGAATGAAATGAACAAAAATACTCACTTTTTATTAACATGCCTGGCAGAATTTTCAAAAGTGTCACTGTCAATGATTTCTGACCTCCACTCTTTAGCTGCAAATAAAAAAAAATGGTGATGAAATTATGCTGTGAATTTCACATCATTAAAAAAAAAATATCTGATGGTTTCATTAACATATCAAGATATAAAGCTCAAGAGTCAATATTGATGATATTACAGAATATTGAGGAAAATTAATGTAGGTTAATGCAAAAAATATTAGGTACTATGATTTCTATTATTTTGTGTGAAAACTCCTTATTATTATAGCTCAAGGAAATGTAATTTGGAAAATTGGAAATTTGGGAAGCTTTAAACAGTTCAAACATCCAACATTATGTGTATACTAGTAGCATCACTGTAAATGCCTTTCAACTAAATGTTTTAATTGCTAAATTGCTATTTAAAAGAACAGTCACACAACATACTTGACCACTATAAAGGTAAGTCCAGCTTGAACAGGCAACAGTTGAAGAATAATAATAAATAAATAATAATAACAATATTTATAAAGCGCAACACATCCATCTCTAGAGATGCTCAAGGCGAATACAAATAATTTAAATTAATATTCAACATACTTAAGATTAAAGAAATAGATCATTAGATCATACAAGTTCATGGTGCCAAGGTACAAACAATGTGGCATAGTATTATTGACTCACTGTATGTATACTGGATATCTTCTCCTGGAGATTGTTTCCTATGTTCAACCCATTGGAACATCTGGACATGACGACGTAGCTTCACTGCTCTCACTGATATACCAAACTGGGAATCTACCAGGGGCTAGGAAAGCATAACACAGAATAATTTATTCAATTCAATTCAATCAAGGTTTATTAAAAACATGACTGGGAGTCACAGACTGCATTACAATTATGTTTTTAAAGGCTGTCTGTACTAGTGTGGACAGGAGGGATTAGACCACCCAGCGAGGTCACTGACGGGTGGCTATCTCATCAACTCAGCTCTCAATTAACATAAGAAAAAGAGGATCATGGGGGACCAACAGGCACCGATTAGTCATTGTTTTCTATATAGGGGGAGCAAGTAACTACAAGTAGTACAGTGGGGCTTAAATGCAAGTAAAATTACAATATACATGTATATATAATTGCACCAATAAGAAAACATGTAAAACTGAATGTTAAAGATACATAAACTAGATTTATTGATAAAATTGTTTTTATAAAGCAATGAAAGACTGTTGTGAAAAGTATTATCATTGCATACAATTACTTCAAATCAATTTAAATGGTAAAACTCATTGTATTAATGTGTGTCATTTGAATAAATTCAGGTTTCTGAGACTATCCTTACAAAAATGAATCCTGAGATCTTCATCAGCTTTAAGAGGTAAAGCACTGCCAACTCCAAATCATCCCCCCCCCCCCCTGAAGCAAAATACCATAAAGAAAATCAAAATACACTCTACAACTTTAATAGTCCCATAGAAAATATCTCACCTCTGTAGTCCGTAGCTTTCCTGTGACATGTATAAGCTTGTTGTTATTTTCTGTAAATATAACCTCACTGGATTCCAAGGGAACAATATTGCGCAAGCCATCATCCAATTGCCATGAGACATATGCAGCAAAACTCTGGGAAAGAAAACAAAAACAGCAAAATAAAATCAATTCCAAGCTGAAAGTCAGAGTAAAAGATGTTGAAATAATTGTTAAAAAAAAACATAAAGTTAATTCAATTTTCTTCTTCCTGAGGTTGAATTGAACATATATCTATTCAAAAATGATGAGAATAGCAGAGTCTTACAAATGAAACGATTGTTATTTTATTATCTTGCTCATTTCAGCTACATGATTTTAAGCTACTTGCATTCTCACTTATTCTCTATACTGAGCATATTGAATCTTTCACTTCTCTTTTATCAAGCTGTTTAATATTTTTTAAAACGTTACTGATTCTCTCATTAAAATCAATTTACCTCATTGACTGTGATGCTGAATAGTCCAATGGCCACAAGACCAAGCCCTAGCATGGACCCTGTAAAGCTGTTGCTAACACGCTCTACAAATGTGGAGTCTCCTCTCTTGCTATAGGTGGACGGAAGTCTGGAACTACCAAGTCCTGGTAATCCACCAGCGTTATGCATGCCGGGATCATCTGGATACTACAGATATAAATCAATTTTTTTAATTACTACTGAGTATTTCATGACTGCTAAAAAAATTAAAATTAAGCTGAAATCAATGTGCTTGTAAATGAAATAGAACTGATTTGCCACCAATTTACAACTTAAGTAGTCAACCAAATAACTGATGTATCACAACGGACAATAGATTCTCCGTCACAAAAAAAAACAGTTCCCATACACACATTTTATTTTTTTTCCTTCAACATTTTGAGCAGATTAAGTGCCATGCCACATTTAACACCTTAATTCTGCTGCCCCAAAAATGCTCACGCCTGGTGTTTATAAAAAGGAGCAGAAAAAAACAAGCAAACTTCTACAATATATATTAATAGGTTTTGTGACGGGTCTAATTATCATCAAAAGCCACGATACCGATGCAGGCACTGAAAAAGGGTGCAGTTACACATATCACATGATTATTATATGTGTCAGGTGACCTCTCAATTTGTGTTTATTTTTCTTCATAGCATGCCTTATTACGTACAGGTATCTGGCCTGATCCCCTAGTGTAACGTTAAAAAAAATATGTTATGAAAAATATAAAACTTCTTCAAAAAAGTTCCAGTTCAAAATTCAAGAATTGATATGTTTTGTAAATTGCTGTTACTTGTTAGGACATTTTGCTCTCAAGTAACACCTTTCATGGATATGAGACCTATCCTGTTAATGATAAGGACGTCATGAATTAAAGGGCTTTGAAGTTAAACACCTCTCACATGCACATCTGACTTACACGACTCTCAAATGAGGCTCGAGGAGGAGTCGACAGCGGAATGCCCTACATAAAAATATACGAATGGGACTGAAGACCGTTACATGTACAGACATCTACAATTATTATAATGAACGAAAGGTACACATGAGCTCTTTATCAAGTAATTACAAAGGCAAAATATAAAGCATGGCCGTCTGTTCGATATACTTACTTTTGAGCGATACATTTTCTTGTAAGACACAAAATTGTCGTCAGTGTCAACGCCAAATGAAAGCAAAAAGGAACTGAAACGTCAACAGCATTAGGGTGTGGTCAAGGAGAAAATAAGAAAATAAAATTCATGCTTGAATATAATAATTGCCTCTTGTACAACTTTACTCAACTACTAAAACAACGACAAGTATGATGAAATATATATTTGTATAATAAACATGTATTAATATATATATATTTTACCCAAACTTTCAGATTAGCATAATAGACTGTGGATCTAAACTCTACCTGAGACTTAGATGCGTGGCAGGTATATATAGGGACTACGGAAAAGTGGGAGATGGTCGGAGGTGGGCCGGGAGGGGGGGGGGGGGGGCACTGAAAAGAAAGTTCATCTTTATGAAACGGTGAGCTTTTCCCCTATTATATCTTCCCAGCTCCTTTCTTGTTTAACGTTTCATTTTTGTAATACAAAATAGTTCTAGCAAGGAATGTCACTAGAACTTGTTGACAGGTCTAGGTTTTGGAAAACAGACAGTCTGCAAAATTGTTGTTATATTTCAAGCAACAGAGGATATATGCCTACATAATTTATCTGAGGCAGAATATATTCATTGGCTAGGGGTCTTCATGCACTAGCTCTCCGTGTAGCAACAACCCTGGCCATAGCGCCTTCAAGTTGTCTACAAGCTGAATAAAGAAAAATCACCACTCCCCCCCCCCCTCTCATCTGTGACATAACTTTTTTTTGTTAACGTCTTAATTATAGAGAAAACAATGGACAAAATAGCTTTTACCTTCTTCAATGTTGGAAAAAAAATTGAAAGGTTAAAAAAAAAACATACACTCAATTTTTGTGATCATTGAGAGTTTCGCTATATAGGAAATAAAAATAATTTCCGATTTGAGGTTTGAAAATGCAAGAATCAATAATGAACGATCGTTTTGATCACTCGGAAATATTTGCTGAAAATTTGGTTAACAATTACTGCGGCCCGCACGTCTCATGGCTATATGGGGCCGGTATGCATGTCCATGGGTAGTATCATGTGGAGCATTGTTTTAAAATCTATTATCATTGGCGGATTCAGGGGGCACAGGGGGCACGTGCCCCCCCCCCCCCCCGGTAAAAAAAAAAAAGGAGAAAAGGGAGGGAAAAGAAAAAGGAGAGGGAACGAAAGGAAAGGGAAGAGAGCTGAAGAAGAAGAAAAGGGAGAGGAGAAAACTGGAGGGTGAAAGGAAGAAAGGGGAAGAGAGGGGAAAGAAAAGACGAAAAAGAAGAAATGGGGAAAGACGGAGGAGAGAATAAGGGAAAAGGAGAATAATAAGAAGGGAAAATAAAAAAAGGGGGATGATATAAGGTGTTTTGTTTACCGCGAAAGGTGCAGGGGGCGGTGCATAATATGGGGTCCCTCTTGCCTGGCGTGTAGTCACCCCCTCCCCCCAAAAAAAAAAGCACATGCAAGAAGAACCCCAAAAAGAGATGGAAAAAATGAAAGAGAAAGAGAGGTGCGAGAGCATGAGGAATTGCATTTATTTAAAAAGAATAATGGGATAACAACCAGGGGCGTCGCTAAAGGGGGTGCTGCAGCCCCCCCCCCACCTGTCATATATTGTCGGTAAAATTGCGCTGCTGTCGTGAAAAATGAGAAAAGGGGGAGGGGAAAATGATAGGGAAAGGGAAAGAAAAGAAAAAAGAAAAAGAAAAGAAAGGAAATTAGAGAAGAGAAGAAAGAAAGAGAAAAAAGAAAAAGAAAAAGGAGAGGAAACAAAAGAAACGGGGGATGAAAAAGAGGAGAGAGATTGGGTCGCACTAAATTAAAAATGCTCAAGGTGTTACCATTTTACAATACTTGGTAAGGAGTGCACTTTTGTGAAATACTTGTTTAGGGTGTGAATTTGGGAAAAACCACGCCGAAATCCTCGTTTCTTGAGGGTGTATTTTGGCTTTAGAAGAAATCCTCGTTTAGGGGGTGTCTGAACGGTGGTCACACATGATTTCAGTATTTCTACATGACTGAGAGCCGGGCAGCATGGTGCCCATAATTACAACCTTATTTATTGTATTAATATCGAAATGATTTACACCACAACAAAATGTCTTTTACCCCTCATTCGCTTACTTCTCGCAAAACTGATAAATCAGGATGATACTTGGCAACGAGAGGACCGAATATAACTTTTTGCATTTTATCTAGTGTATATTGATGACTAAATAAAAATTTGCCTTGATAAAAATGCAAAATTTTGCTCGATTGCCTCGCTCGCTCGCAATATTTCAGATTCGGATAGCATGTTTTCGGATACGAGTTCCATGCATTGCATGCGTCTATGCGTCGGAGGGCTGGAAAACAAATCCTCGTTTATGAATTTTATATAAGGCGTCGTGAAAAAGGAGGCCCGGCTAAAATAAAAGGTCGGAAAATGGCTGATCTGGTCGACTTCTAGTGCCCCCGCCCAAATAGGCTATATAGTTCATCAATAAAATATAAGATTGTCCCCTAGCTGGGTTTCCCTTGGAATCGGTTGTGATTTTTAAAATAATTTTTGCAAAACTATAAAACTTTATGATCTTTCTTGTTTGTCAGACAAATTTGCAGTGAAAGGTACCTGCATGATAGCCCACACCCCCCCCCCCCCCCCCCCCAAATAGGACTTCACGTCACCAGTACAGTAGTAGCAGTGGTGCGTACTTAAACATCCTACGAAAAAAAAAAACCCTCCGACGGCGCAGTATAGCCAAGGCATTGCATATCGCTTGCGAATTGAGATCGTGTTATGTTGTAAACTTGCAAATGTTGTGATCAGGAGCCAAATACAAGGGAGATCCCTGGCCTTATCTTACAGCTACATACAGTAACAAACCGGCTGACAGTGACACAGCTCCATTCACAGCCTATTAACACCTTAGTGAGTAAGTCGATGTAACCATAGACGTAGGTGTAACGCCAGGCACTCCTTTTATTAATTTGTCAGGCCTTTGCTTTGGTTTGTATTTTGTAAGTTGTATAACAATAGTTCTTCGTCTGACCATGGACTTACTAGACATGGTCTGACTGTCAGCTGTAGCTGTGTAGATCTAGCTAGCTGTCTCACTCTCTCTCTCTCTCTTACTCTTACTTAGTACTTATAGACTCAGCCTAGTTTTACACCATTCACTAACAGTAACAGGCCGAGACAGAGATAACTGTCTGCCAAAATGGGCAGCCCATCTCAATTTAATCTCTGTTATTAACTTATTCAACTTATGGTTTGCATCCTTAGCTTAGGCCTACAAATACAACCTTAGCTTAATCTAGCTACTTAATCTAGGCTACTAGTTATAGATCTAGATCTACTACTATTACTAGATCTAGATTTCTTTGATGGATATTTTAAAGATTAGAAGTGGGTGGTGGACGTGAATGTTCCTTGATCTGCATCTGTTGATGTTGTTGGCTGTGGTTTGCATATGGACCGGAAATTTCTGTCTCTTCGTTCTAAATCTTAAGCCTCTTATGACGCTGCACTCTACAATGCTAATCTTAGCAGGGGAGGGGTTTCACTCAGAGTCGGAGCGAAAATTTCCGCGTAGCGCTCAAACCTATGACGATATTCAGCCGATATAAGCATCGGGAGTCTAGCTAGTACGGGGTGGGCGGACGGCACAGCTCATTCAAATACCCTGTAGTCAGCAGCGCACTTGGGTTGCAAAAATTCGCTATTTAGCTAACCATAGCTTCTTCTTTGCTTGGCTTCCTCCAGTTTGAAGAACTGCAGTTGGTGCAGGTGTTAGTACAGGTACATGTAGTACACTATACAAAGGATAGGCAGGTTTACAGTGGCATCACATACATGTAGTGGAACGTTTAACATGGAGGTCAAGTATGAAACAGAGAGAGATTGTGAAAGAGTGAGGGGTTGATTCAGTCCGAAAGAGAGGTGTGAGAGCAGGAGCCAAGCAGCGATAGCTTTGTGAAGCGTTCACCCTTCGTTTCCGTGTTGGAATACTGATTTAATTTTTTTTTTTTGATGGATATTAAAGATTAGTCAAGTGGATGGGTGACGTGAATGCATGTGATTCCACTGTAAACCTGCCTATCCTTTATATAGTGTACTACCAACACATGCACCAACTGCAGCTATCCAAATACATGTACAGGGTCTACTCTGCAAACTTTGGTCTAAAATGTCATTTAATGTCTAATTTTGTTTAATACATTTTATTCTTGTGTGAAATCTATTCTTATAATAATATATGCCTGTATAAAAAAGAAAAGAATATAAACTTTTTTTCTATGTAAAATGTGGAATAAATAAACTTCAAACTTCAATTTTAGCAGATTCATATCCAATGCATTTACATAGGTTGAATTAAGTTCCACTTACCAATAGGCAATACCAGATTGACTGTATGATGCATTTAAGGGTCTTTTTTCTGGATATTCTTTGTCCAAATTGAACTTTGGTTGAAATTCTTGCAGCCATATCTTAAACTGTTACTGCACATGAAGGAAGATGACGTCATCCATTGACAGTAACTAACAGTTTAAAATACGGCTGCAAGAAATACAAGTTTCAAGTCATCAAGTAGATAATATATTATCTTTTGTCTCTTAGTGTTGCATGTTCATCAGGACGATCTTGCACGATGATGAAACAACCTAGATGAGATGACTACACTATGGCATACATTTGTCTTTGGTTGCTGCTTGGTATGTGTGTCCTCCGTACCATAGCTGGAGCTGACAGGAATGCGACGTCAGGAGTCATAGACCGAATTGTGGAGACGCGTCCGGACGTCCTGCCCCATGTGAGTTTGCCACCGAGTGTTAATAATACATGGCCTCCATTTGATGCGTCAAGACCAGAGTTGAGTCCACCACCGGATATCAATCCACCCTTCGAGTTCCTTGGCACAGAAGTTTCTCACTTGAACAAAACTTCCATGTCGGCCATGACGACTCAGACCAGTAATATTACACGAATGCATACATCTCCTGCCACACAAGAACCATCTTTAGATACAGACATTGTGGCAACGTCTCTCCCTGTTCAGTCATCTTCAACAGCAGCAGCTGTAGCCACGCGCTCCACCATGCCCATACCTGTATCTACAGTGGCAGTATCTAAAGTGGGAGTATCTACAGTAGCAGTATCTAAAGTGGCAGTATCTACAGTGGCGGTATCAGTGACAGTAGCGAGGAAACCAAATGGGAATGAGCATAATCATGAACATGTCAGCATTGCTGTATTCTTAGCTGTTCCTGTGTGTGTTGGACTGCTCATCTCATTCTTCATCCTGTTTGGAAAGTACTGCCGCAAGAAATTAAGGTAATGGTGCAAAGAAGTGTAAAGAATTCATCCTTGCATTATCCTCAAGTTGGACAATGTAGATGATTTACTCATAGCCAATACAACTGATTTGTTGATTGTTCATCAATAAGTCATCAATAACATCTGTATTTTTTCATTTGGCTGGTATACTGAGCTGGGCAGCGTCTCACAAAAGTACAAGTTCACCGACATACCTTTGAAACGTGTGTTAAACTTAATACACACATTTCAATGGGTCGTCGTTGGACTTGTACTTATGACGGTTTCGTGAGACACTGCCCTGTAGTTTATTCACATTGGTGTATTCAGCATTAAGGGGAAGCTCAAAATACCCCCCCCCCCCTGCCGTTACTTGAAGGCCCAAGATGAAAATTAAAATCTATTGTGAGCATACAGAATGAAGAAGTGTGCAGATAACTTTGTCCCTGCCGGCTGCCGCCCTTCCTTCCTTTTAATCAATTTCCTAAGTGCCTTATCCCTTGGACACTAGTCAAAATATATTGTGGTAGCATATTATTGTTCTCTAAAAAGAAAAGAACCTCCTGAGTCATACATTTTGAAAAAAATTATTGTGTTGGAACAAATGGAAAGATGTATTTATTTTTCGTATTATTATTATTATTTTAAATGTCATAAAAATCATAATCATACAGGAAATATTGCACAGTATATGCCTAAATTGTATTAGATTGTGGTGTACCGGTAAATCATTTCCACATCAATTACAAGAACTCGATATTACCTACTTTTCATATAACTTTTTGATAAGTTGATTATATTTATAACTGCAGTTTTCTATGCACGATACAGAGTATATTATCCAGCTGACTCTGTTACTTTCATTTGTTCCAATTCAGACTAGACAAGCTCCGTCATCAGCTGATGCCCATGTATAGCTTTGATCCTGCAGAAGGAGAGGATTGGGAGACAGAATTACTAACAGACCCAAGAACCCAAGCTACTACCCAGCAAACAACAAACACCACCCAAAGCACCACTCCAAAGGTAATGTGAGCGAGAGAATATTAAGAATAAGACAAAACTTCTCAGGTTAAAGATGAAGTTGAGTTCTGGTCATGCGATTGCATTGTGAAAGAAACGGTGTGGAACCGACCAGAAAAGGTTGATCATCTAGCATATAAGAATTTGTGTGTATTGCAAGGTTCTGGAATCATCAAAATGATAAGAAATTTGGCCAAGTCTTGGTACAGTTACAAACACTTGCACAGAAAGATGTACATGGGACTTCCGACTACACGAACACGTGGCGTAAAAAGCCGGCCCCCCCCCCCCCCGATTTTTACGATGTTACATGAATATTTAGAATATGAAGGCATTTGAAGAGCCATGCTTTTCAGGGAACATGTCTTAACTGATGTTCTTCCACACTTGCATAATAAGAATGAGTAATGCTAACAAAATTATTTTTCACCTCTTCCCAGAACTCAACCTTCTCTTTAAAGAGCCGAGTAGAAATTTACCTCAAAATAGACACGCATTAATAGTATAGATATAATGACTGCTATGAGAGGCATAGGTAACGGTAGTTGTTTTTATAAGCTCAATTGGACTTTACATTCTGCTATCACCCCAAGGCGTGCCTCATCACGACTCCAATTTCGGATGACTAGATTTATTCAACATACTAAAAAGAGGTATATAAATGATATTATTAGTAGCAAGCCTTTGTAATAGCCCTACAATATCACAATATGGTATTTTCTGTTATGTTTAAGTCTCTGATACCAAAGGGTGTGATGGAGGAAGCAAGTGTCTTTTATTATTGTGTTATCCTCTGATTTTTAGCCAGGATAACTGAAGAGCTGATAAAAGATTTTAACCACTTTTAATTAAAGAGGGTTCTAAAAAAAGAATTATGAATTAAATTTGGGGTAAAGTGCAAGGGTATAAAAATTCCCCACCTCCTCCTAAAACAATTAGATAATGATTGTTGTAGACCCTCATCCTTATTCACTTGAGAAGGCTCTTGTCAATCTATAGCATTACATACAAAATACCTATGTGAAGAATATTACAAATGACGTAATATTGATTTTTGCCACCCTTTTCTTCCTTTTTCTTCTTTGCATACTGACAGCCAACGAGCCAAGCAGAAGTTCCACAGCTAAGATTTAACTACCCTGCGGCGGACGTGTGAGCCACGCGTTTGATCAATCATTGGGATGTCTGGCCTGGAGTTATCCCGTTGACTAATGAATTATCTAATTCCCATAGACCTAACATAGGGACCACCAGGTTCCAGTAAGCAATGGGTTAAAATGGTTGTTCAAGTTTGATTTGAGCTGTATATTGATTTATTGCTCCATGTCCAGCTCACCATGCAGCACAGTATAAATCAATGTTTGCTTTAATAAAAGCAGGCAAAAACATCAAAAAGGGCTAAATTTGAACTTGACATTGCTAAACGATCCTAAGAAGAAACTTTTGAAATCATTAACACATGTATGAATGTATTTCTGTGATGTATTTTAATATAGTCAAGCACTTCGTTCACATACCGGTACAATCGAACTCAGAAACAGCTGGCCTGGTCACCAATGTCCAGATACATATGATGTGTATGTGCTTTGCTGAAAGAAAATGAAAAAAAAGTCTCTGAATTGAGAATGCACATTTGTGATGCAGATTGGTGATAGGTTAACCATATAAAAGTGTACTGTGGTCAACTTTTCTTTTTGTTTTGTCTTTAATACCAAAGAGGTTTGTTTTCCCCCTGTCAATTAGATATGAAAGCTGTAGTGTTTTTAGGGGGCTTTCTCACTCACTCTCATGTGACTCTTTGCTCACAATCCCACTCCCGAGTGGTCACATTAATTTGGTGAACGCAATGGGTCACTTGCCAAAGTACAGTCAAACCTGTCTATAGTGACCGCCCAAAGAAAACACAAAAAGTGGTCTTTGTAGACAGGTTCCTTTAGTACATGTTTCAATTTAGAAACCATTTTCAAGGGAAACCAAAAATGTGGTTGTTGTAGACAGGTGGTCTTTGTAGAAAGGTGGTCACTAAAGTAGGTTTGACTGTATATGGCATAGCATGCACACATATACACACACAGACTTGCTCAACAACTCTCTCTCTCTCTCTCTCTCTCTCACATTCACTCGGTCTATCATTATGAGAGCAATCAAGAGCGTCACAAGCACAGATTCATGAATAGGGTTATTCAAAAAACAATTACAGAGTTTGGAAATGATATTATATTCCCTTTGGGCCTTGTCTTTATGAACACAGACCAAACTCTAACACATGTCATGGAGTAAAAAATCAAAATAATTACAGCAATAGTACCAACATAGTGGCTGTACTGATGAATATTAAAGATAAACTTGAGTTCTGGTAATGCGATTGCATTGTGAAAGAAAAGGTGTGGAATGGATCAGAAACAGTTGATCATATACATGTAGCATGTAAGTAATGGTGTGTAATGCAAGGTTCTGGAGTCATCAAAATCATCATAAATTTGGCAGAGTCTTGGTAAAGTAACAATCACTTACACAGAAAGATGTATATGGGACAACACACATGGTGTCGGGGCTAGTACTACCCTGATTTCCTTATCTTTCTATGCTCATTACTCAACCAGTATACATTTTCTTCCAAAATTGTTTGGCACATGACATTTATTTGTAATCTTGAACATTCAGTGTAAGTTTCGTTATATTCTGTGAGAATTCATTTTCTTTTTTTACCAGAACTCAAGTTTATCTTTAAGCTGTGTGTACCGTGACACACTTGATCTGTATACAGTAACTACACACTTCGAACTCTGACCTTGCTTTTTACCAAGTCCACACACAAACTCTGGCTAATATAGCTCTACCTCCTCCCTATTCAATAAGCGCCCTCTACAGGCCTATCCAAAAACAAGAGGAAAAAAAGGGGATTTGTCTGGTCAGGCAAAATGTATGTACACTAGGTGTGAAAATAAAGGTGAGGATAAGAGGATTATTGTCATCATTGCAGTTCGTTCGTTCGTTCGTTCGTTCGTGTCTCCTTAGACCAAGATTAATGGATCACATTACAGTTATAAGAAAGTTTTCTTTTTTTTAAGTAGGTTCAAAGGACCTAGTGAACTATCAGTATAATGAATATGGTTGGGAATATATATATGCTCATGACAAAGAGAATCTGAGAATCAAATGTTATCTCGGAATTGCAGAGGACATAGGAATAGTCAACTGTTTGTGAAGAAGGAAAAAATCCTAGTAGCGATGTCATTATGGCACGTACCGCAGAAGGATGAAAAGTATATATCCTTCTTATCTGATTATATTTATTTCCCTATCACAACCTCCCCATACTGACATAATGTCTGACAGTCATCTACCCCCAAGATGTTTTTTTTATATTTCAAATTTATCAAACTTAGTGAATTTTCCCTTAAGAAAATATATTTGTCTTCTCTGTATATTTTTCAAAATGTTGACATCTATCTTTTAAGTTTTCTTTAGTGAAGAGAGAAGTTGGAAATGAGATACAACTTAAATCACTTTTATTTATCATATGCTGAATGATTCTGAGTTTTAGCACTGGGCATTTCAGTAGAATGAGCTGCAATTTTTTTCTCTTGCCAAATAGTTTTTTGCTTGCAATATCAGTATAAAAAGAACAAATATCAGAGAGTATATTATAATAATAAATATCAGATTTAGATCCATTTCTATTCAATTGTCAATCATATTCAAAGACAAAAGGGTTTAGAATTTGTGTGCAATTAACAAGGAATGCACAAAACGTACAAGATATTAAAATCATATATTGAAAATTGATGGTCTGAATTTATAATTAGAGTAGGATTCTGCTGATGTTATATGAAGCAAAAGAGATGTATTTTTATTTTTATGCAGAAATGTGCTAATTTGTTATCTATGCTTAGGCTTTTTGTATTGCTTTGGGGATGATTTTTGTTTTCTTCATTTCCCGTCAAATGCTGCCTCTGTTTTCCCTCATAACTGTTACTGCTGGTACATCTTGTACATTGTATAAACTTGTTTGAGTTGATGGAGTGGAAATGTTCATAATCTTTGTAAAATCTGTTAGAAAGTGATTGTTGCTTATAAATCTTCTAATATTGCTATAATTCTGAACAAAACCAAATGCACTTGTTATTACTGTAGGAACTTAAGATGGTAATAGTATAAATAGCTGTGAACATGATATTTCATGCATTGTATGATTGATGGGAAGAAGTTTTGGTCCTTCAATAGTTGTATTGTTTCACACAAAGATCTGAATGTCATCAAATTCACAAGCACTTTGTTTTCTGGGTTTTGACTCCAAAAGCAGCACCGTAATGGGTGTTATGAAATGGTTCCAAGAAAGTAGCCAGTGTGAAGCATCAAAATGGATCACGTGTGCATGCATTAACCTTTTACCATATGCACGCGGAGTGCATTTGGTGATAACAACCATCAATTTCGTGACTTTATACTCATATTGTAGACACATGTTATGAAACAAATAATGCATGTTTTTAGCTCGTGCATTGTGAAATGCAATTGGTTAAGTCACAATTAGACGGACAATGAACTCCGCAAGTCTCGTTCAATATCCTACAGTGACTTATCAAGGGGCACCGACGCATTGACTTGGTTTCGAACCCGGGTCACCGGATTACGAGACCGCTGCTCTACCAACTGAGCTATCGCGCCTCTTTGGAGACTTAAGGTGTTTCTTTCCAACAGTTTTTGCACGTGCTAGTACATCAATTTTTAGTCTCAACTTTCCAATAAGAAGATACAAAAGGATTTTGCTGTTAACCATTTAAAAAAAATAGATTTTGAATTATTTGCTGGCCTATGTATTGCTGATATATATGGCCACTGGAATTACATGATGAGCATTCTACATGTATTGCTTTTGCTAATATGTGTAGCTCATGTATACGGTCCTTTTTAAGTTAAAAAAAAAAGGCTTATTTATGCAAGCAAGTCGATGTATATCTTTGTATCTTTTTAAAGTTTGTGAAAGTTTCAAGATGGCCGACTCAAAGTATAGTATAGTAGAAGAGAGGAAGCAAGAAAAGGCTTAATGATGCATGCAATAAACTTTTTAGTTTACAAAGCCTAATGGTATTTTGCTTTTTAACATATTAAAAGTGCATTTTTATTGGAAATTAGATTGCATGCAAAGGTAATAATGTAAGTGTTGGTTGATAATACAACTTTCCACTTCGTTGGGAGTAATTCATACCCAAGAAGGAAACATAATTAAAAATTGGAAATCTATTTCGAGACTTTTTGTGCCTAAAAGCTAGGATACAAACACAATTTATAATCTTGCTAATACCATCAATAAGCTTATTCAATACAGATGAGAAAGAAAATGCATTAAAAAAGGGTTGCAAATTGGTTTGGAGAAATGATTAGAATCCACGGCGTTGAATGTGATATAACCACTCAGAGGCAGCTTTAGAATCAATCTTTGATGAATGACTTCTTTGTATTCTGTATTCTACTCACTATTCTTCATTTGGAGCAGGATATATTATTTACTGAAATTACTGTCGATATAATTCTTGTAAAAATATTTTTTGCTTGCCTCCCCCCTTGATTGATGGCACCCAAGCTGAAAACGAGGCTAGGATAGTGAATAATTCAGGAAAGTTGGAGTACAAAGAAGTCCCTGTTTTTGAGTTAGTTAAATAAAGCAAGAAATATTGGTTGGATGGTGTTCATAAGGCCTAAAAAAAAAGATGTTGTATTGCCCTTTGCGACCGACCCAAAATTTTGAAATCGACGGTCTGCTTTTTTTTTTTTTTTTTAAACTTTTTTTTTAGAAAAAAATGTATTACCGGTACCGGTAAAGCATTCAAAACTAAGAAATATCAGCCCAAGAGGGAGTTATAAAAAAAAAAAGATTCTGACCGGCCGACCCATGTTTTAGCACCTAAAGGGCAATACAAAATTTTTTTAAAGGCCTAATCAAGGTTTTTCTTGAAATAATGTAAGCGTGCTGAATTGTGACCATTCCAGTAAAATTTTGAATCCTTTTAAAGTACATGAGGGTTCTTTTGTGAGGTATCTGATGTGAAATTATAGTATCTGATCATTCTGAGAATCTATGATTTACATGTAGTAAAATGCTGTAATATTTATAAAATGTTACATAAGAATATGTATGCATCATGTAATAATTGTGCACTATGGTCAACTTCTTCTGAGGTATTATTCCATTTTCTTGTAATTAATGCCTTTGTATGAAATCATATATTGCTTTGTGTATGGATGTGGATGTCCTCTCTCTCTATAGTTGTGTGAATGAATGGACATGGTTCACCTATTTATTCACTTTCCTGCCACACTATGTGCTGTAGTATTCAGTACTTGTTGATATGTGCATTCCACATCATACTCTTGCCTTGTTGTTTGTGAAGCCAAAAGTGTACCAAATAATTGACAAGTACTTGTACATATACTATTCTGCAGATGAGATGTTTTAAATTTCTTTTTAGATTTTGTTAAAGATTTGTGAATGATTATATTTTTAAAATTTGAGACAGGGTTAAGCCTCATTTACATATGACACAGTAAACCCCCTCCCCAAAAAAAATCTATGGTCAAAGACAACTCCTGTATTCCGAACTGAACCCGATGGAGAGATAATATGACCTCCAAAGTCCGGATTGCAGAAATGAAAAGCCGAGTGGCTGTGATAAGATCCCAG